TTCGTTGAACATAGTTCAACACTATGTGAAACTCATTCAGCAAGAACGCCCGAAGACATGCAGCTAGGGGGAAGGGGCCGTGTTCGAATCCGATCGATGGATGGTGATGGTACGCTGGGAGTGGAACTTCCTTCTAAGAAGAGAAAGCATAATTCCCGAATACGATAGCGCTAAAGAAATGGTTCGACAGACAGATGGGACATTCGCACTGAAGGATATTTCCCTAGCATGATGAAATTGATGTGGAATTTCAACAGGTTTACCAATCGACATGCTGATTCTTTGACCAAATGATGAATAAGATCAGCAAGCGACGAACTCCAGCTCATGGAACTTGAACGATAAGCTTCCTTCAAGAATGATTCAAGAACTCAAGCAATCAGTGTCGTCAGTGCACATGGCCAAGAAAGACTTGAAGTGCTTCACTAAATTATGTGGCAATTTTGACTACAAGATGTCCGATGGGGTCTTAGCTCGGTGCCTTGGCGTTGAAGAAGCAGGTAGTTTTCCAGCTGGGTGGATTGCTTTGAATAGCTATGTCGCTAAAGCCCTTGCGATTCGACTTTCCTTCTTTGATGGAATCCTTCATATACAATTATTAGACCGGACCCAAATGGGCTGCCTACGTAGCTCTCAGAGGTACGAAGTCGCTAGAGAATTCGTACCTCGAAGAGGAATCTTCGAGTGACTTCGTACCTCTCCCATAGGTCGTACCTAGAGAACAGAGAACAGAGATTCGTTTCACTATGTTCGTTGAACATAGTTCAACTCATTTCGTTTCAAACGTTGAACTATGTTCAACGACCAGTCCATAGTCCTTCGTCCACCCTTTACCTTTCAGTCGCCATCACCGGGCGGCTCGCCTGCCGTAGCTTGCTGGGGCTGGCTCATTTTCCCTATTTGTCCAATCCCGGCAACGTCTTTGTTCCTCCAGAGTCGGTCAATGTTGTCTCCCATTTGCAACGTCGCATTCTCCGAAAAGAAGAAAAGCTATATTCAACAAGCAACGGCTACTCTTATAGATTATATAGATTAGTATAGATTAGCAAATCTTATTTATATCTTATTTAGAAAAACAAATCTCTTCATAGGCCGGATTTCGCCAAATGACAGAACATTCCCGATCTTAGCCGATCTATGGTTAACCGGCCCTTCGGCCCCAGTTGAACTATGTTAATAGTTGAACTCTGTTCCGGGGCACTACTGAAGGGCGCATTGGGCCAGCCGGTTTCTCAATCGTACAGATGTGCATGTCCATCAGCGAATCAGAAATGACTTGTACGCTTGTACGGAAGCGCTCTTAGTTCAGTTCGGTAGAACGTGGGTCTCCAAAACCCGATGTCGTAGGTTCAAATCCTACAGAGCGTGATTCCAAATCAACAGAAACCGGGCTTGGACCATGTCTCCCGAACAATCTCAGTACATATGGCGCAAGACGATTCCACATATCGAGGTCGGAATGGGATCGGGTGTTTTCACGTCTTACCGTAGTGCCCGGTTTGGCTTATTTCCGATTGATGAACAAGAAGGAAAATCCCCCGGCTACGTGTCCTCTCCCGTTGGTCGAATGAGTTTCACATAGTGAAACGAATTCTCTAGGGACTTCGTACCTCTCCCGTTGGTCGTACCTCTTCGAATGAGTTGAACTATTCGTTGACAGAGAACAGAGATTCGTTTCACTATGTGAAACTCATTTCGTTGAACTAAATGAGTGTAACATAGTGAAACGAACAACTCATTTGAAACGAATTCTCTAGCGACTTCGTACCTCTTTCAAATGAGTTGAACATAGTTCGTTGAACTATGTTACACTCATTCGAAGAGGTACGACCAACGGGAGTCGCTCGAAGAGGTACGACCAACGGGAGTCGCTCGAAGAGGAATCTCTGTACCTGCTACCAGTGGAAGCAATATGTTGGGGGAGATTCAATCCAGCCACAGGTTCCCCTACGGCTACCTTGTTACGACTTCACCCCAGTCGAAGACCCCACCGTGGTATGCGCCAATAAGACCACCAAAAGCCTTTGTGGCACTAGTGTGACACAGAAGTCATGGGTGATCATTGGTCCGATGCTTCGGGCGAAACCAATTCCCAGGGTGTGACGGGCGGTGTGTACAGGGCCCGGGTACATATTCACCGCGGCATGCTGATCCGCGATTACTAGCGATTCCAACTTCATGTTCCCGAGTTGCAGAGAACAATCCGAACTTAGGCAATCTTTCCGGATTCGCTCCGCCTTACAGCCTTGCTTCCCATTGTCATTGCCATTGTAGCACGTGTGTGGCCCAGCCCATAAGGGCCATGCGGACTTGACGTCATCCCCACCTTCCTCCAGTATATCACTGGCAGTCCTTATCAAGATCAAGATCAAGAGTCAAAAGTGAGTGCGGCACGCACCTTTTTGTTTGTTTCGGAGCCGTTTTGGCGGGGCGTACTAAACCCACTACGTACCAAGCGGATCCGTCACCTGCAAGATAAGGTACGAAGCCCTCTGAAACTCATTCAGAGCAACTTCGTACCTCTTTCGAATGAGTTTCACTATGTTACACTCATTTGAAACGAAATGAGTTGAACTCAAAACAAACATAGTGTCACTATGTTACACTATGGTTACACTATGTGAGTTGTGAGTTCAACGAATCCTTGCAAGCTAGAGAACAGAGATTCGTTGAACATAGTTCAACTCATTTCGTTTCACTATGTTACACTCATTTCGTTGAACATAGTTCAACACTATGTGA